CTATACAAGTGAATCTTTCCTTTGTTTTCTGAATTATATGACAATTGAGAAGACTTGGATATATTGTTTGCATGAATGTGACTCATGCGACAAAACTGCTTGAATATTTATGTTTTTTTTTGTTCAGCGAAGTGGGGTTTTTACTCTGAAGGCTATTGGTGTATTTTATTTTATTTTTTTTAATAGTCCTCAATTAACTTACCAAGTTACTATAGCAGTGAGCGCATAATTAAATACTTTCATATATTTTTGTATTGCAGCCCGGATACATGCTTTACGACCGAGTTGTTAGGCCAGCTGAAGTTGGTGTAACTACAGCACCAGAGAACAATGCAACTGAGGATAATGCTGGCAATTGAATTGCAGCTAACAAAAGTTTCAAGTAACGGCCTTGTAGTAAACTGGATAACGTTTCCAAATTTTTTGAATATGTTTGAGAAACTTGAATGAGATTAAATCTTATTCCTGTGACATCCATAAGCTTATTATCCAGTTGCATTTGTTTTTTCTGCCCAATCTTTTTATATTAATCCTTGTACTATAATGATATTTAGACGACACCACAGAAGATCTCTGATTACTCTAGAATTTTCAAGTTTATAAGTAGAGTTTTGATTTTGAGTTTGTGCATGACACAACCGTTCTTGGTTGCAAGTAGTTGCTTGTGTTTTGGTTCTCAGCTTGCTGTGAGTGCATGGAGCGTAGTGTAGAGTTTATCATGTTGTAGCTTCTGGGTTCTGGTGTTTGTGCTGTGAGCAAGGTTCCTTTTTACAAATGTTATTCTTCTTTAAGAAGCTATAATCCTTTGCATTTACGCAACCAAAAGAGGTCTTTTAAATTAAAGCATGGCAAACCATTGTTTTCAGTAATTAAAAAGGTCTTATATCTACAGCCATGGAGCTTAGCCAAGTTGGTTAGAGCAGATGTGCTTCCCACTCTGCACCCGAGTTCGAATCCCCTTACTCATTGTTTAGATTATACTAAAGTAGAATATCGTTTGTATTATTATCCAGTTGCATTTTTTTTTTCTGCCCAATCTTTTATATTAATCCTTGTACTATAATGTTGTTTAGATGACACCTCAGAAGATATCTGGTTACGCTAGAATTTTCAAGTTTATAAGTAGAGTTTTGATTTTGAGTTTGTGTATGGTATCAAATGACACGAACGTTCTTGGTTGCAAGTAGTTGCTAGTGTTTTTGTTCTCAGCTTGCTGTGAGTGCATGGAGCTTAGTGTAGAGTTTATCATGTCGTAGCTGGGTTCTGGTGTTTGTGCTGTGAGCAAGGTTCCTTTTTACAAATGTTATTCTTCTTTAAGAAGCTATAATCCTTTGCATTTACACAACCAAAAGAGGTCTTTTAAATTAAAGCATGGCAAACCATTGTTTTCAGTAATTAAAAAGGTCTTATATCTACAGCCATGGAGCTTAGCCAAGTTGGTTAGAGCAGATGTGCTTCCCACTCTGCACCCGAGTTCGAATCCCCTTACTCATTGTTTAGATTATACTAAAGTAGAATATCGTTTGTATAACAAAAAATGTCTTGTGTTCGCTTCAACTTGTGCTCAGTAGACTTCAAGGTGTTTTCCTAACTCAGCGTAAAAGATTGGGTAGAATCCTCATTATCTTTCTTTTGTGATTATTTGATTTGGATCTAGAACAAATTTAATCCCTTTTTATCGTATTATTTATAGAGCTTATTGAGTTGTACATATTTCGTAATTATTTTGCCGAGTGAGTATGAACATTCAAGTAACGACCAACGAGAAAACTAAATTGAGCAAAAAAACAAAAACAAAAAGAGGAAAACTGGAACAACAAAAAGGCAGTCCTAAATTTTTTAGACACTTTCCTTATGTTACAGTTTCGATAAATATGATGTCTTGTTTGTTTCTTCATTTTTATACTGTCGTGTTCTTCTTTCTCCCTTTTTTTTTCCTTCAAGTTTGGTGCCGTTGCATAACCCCTTATAAAAAAAAACACAAAAACACGAATGGTCACCCCTACAATGAAGTGCCACCTAGCTAGTAGCTATATATGGCTAATCTTTACAGACAGTTGAATACTCGAAACACTGTGCTATTTAATCATGTACTCTACTACTTGCTAACCCGACAGCTTACTTACATACATCTTAATCAGTATCATAATAACACAGAAAATAGCATGGCTAGCATGTAGCAGGCCCTACCAGTTGGTCACCAGATTTTGACTTCGCGTTGCTGGTTTTTCTTTTTCCATGCAACTCTAGTTTTTGTCTTCACAAATGCTACGCATCAACCCAACCAAAATCTACCCGGGCTTGCTTTTTTCATCTGAGCATCTTCAATCTGGCTAACGGAATCACGGTTGGCACTGTGACCCTTCAACCCCAAATCTAAATCCAGACGGCTTCCATTTGAATCCTGCAACCCAGAATGGTCATCATCCAATTCCTGCAGTGCAGACAACATCTATTGAATAACTTGTTGCATAGTAAATAACTTTACATTTTTTTTAAAACTACAGCAAGTGCACTAATCCATATCCTATTTGCTTGGTGGGGAACAAGATAAAAAAGTTATCTTCATTTTCAAATTGCTTTTAGTTTCTGGACAGGTTTCTTTAAACCTCACATGCTTGCTACTATATCCCACCAGTAAAATTTACTATCCTTGCTAGTGAAACATCAAATCTTATCAAGTGTAGATGTACAATGGTATAACCACCATTAGGCTTTTTCTTTTTGTTGTTAGAACTATGGTGTTAAAGTTCATATACTCATGAATCTACGAGCCAGGAGTTTGATATGATTCTGGATGGCAAGTATCAGGGGAACAGCATCCCCTATTTCACCACCCAACAAGGAGCATCTTGCAGCAGTGAGGATATTGACTTATGGACTGGGAACGTAACAACAACAATGACATTGACTTTACTCATGACACACAATAACAATTATTTGTCTGTGTTAACGAATGTGTATTTACCCCTTATGAAATAAAAAAAGAAAGAAAAACTCCTAGACCAACATCATTACCAAATGTTGCAAACCTGATTATGGTCGCTATGTTGTGGCACAATGGCCAATATCCACAGCACCATGGCCTAACACCAAGATCAACAGTGACCATGGTGGTGGGATCTTAATATCCTTTAGGAATTATTTTATCTTATTTAATTTCTGAAGTTTTTCAAGCATATTAACAACAACAGAAAAAGGAGGAAAGTGAATAGTGTTCCTGGGTTCAGATAGAATGACCCCAATAAGACTTATGGGCTCATGCAGCGGTGACAGCCAACACCACCACCTACATGCTCATTCTGCAACCCTAAAATTCATTTCAACGTCTAGGAAGGGGCATGAGCATTTGGCCATATGGCCGAACGTAGAACATGTACTACAATAATACAAAAGGACCAAATCCAAATGAATGAAAAGATAATTAAGCAGGAAATCAATAGGTCTAACCTCAGCTTGTTCCTCCATAACTTGATCGATGTTTGAATTTTCATGCATCTTAGTACTCGTGGCTATAGATTGGCCTCCCTCACTAGCTTTCACCACATCTCCAACCTTTCCCTTGGCTGCCTTCTTCTGTTCCTCTAGCACAGAAACCTGCACAACGAATCATAAGCCACTAACCAATGCTCAAAATGGTAGTGACCCGGATTATAAATGACAACAATTTCCGTTTTCTTTTACTTCTGTTCCTTTTTTTGCTTTAAGAATCAACAGCATCAAGCTTCTAATCTACGCATCCCAGGACTCCTAATTCTATTTTTGGTTCTATTTTGGGCAACACTCAAAGTTAAAATTTCATGACCTTGAATGCCAGAAAGCATAGCATTTGTCCAAAACTGCATTACTTGGAAGGATTGTAGATTCAAAAACAACAGTAACATTCTCAACTTAGCAATAACATTGTACAGAACACTCCAATTAAATCCTTCAAGACATCCTACCCCCAAAAGAAAAAAATACCCCACAGATTTTACACCAAAACCCACAATTTCCATAAAACCTAAAAACCCTAGAAAACACACACGCAGCGATTGGAGCACACAGATGTATATGCATGTTGGTAGTTTACTTACGGGCGTGTAGCGGAACTTCCGGCGCGGCGGCTCCTCCATCGAGGCGCCGGAGCCGGAGAGGGGTTCTGCGGCGGCGGTGGCCGGAGAGATTGGGGTCCAGCGGCGGAGGAGGAGGCGGGAGCTGTTGTTGTTGACGTTGGATTGGGAGTGAGGGTTCTGGTAAGTAGCGGAGGATGATGAGGGCACGTGGACCCACTTCTTCTTCCACCTGCGAACTGGGCCGCTGAAGACGGTGGTGGTTTGGCCATACCTAGAGGAGGCCCGGCCCAATCTGGACCCCACTCCCTCCATTTTGGTTCTTCTTCAGCTCTCTCGCTCACTCTCAGCCTTTAAGGAGCCTTGGAGCTTTGAGAGAGCAGAGTGAGTGGGTCAGTGTGACTATTTCATTTCAAGTACGAGGTTGAGAAAGAGAGAGAGAGTACTTTGTCAAAGGTTGTAACTGAAAACGACGCCGTTTTAGTGTTTGGTTCCCATGCTCTTTGTCATACGCACCGTTGGTTTGGCGGTTAACAGGTTTAGATTAATTATTGTAGTTTTAATTTTTTTTTATCTTTTCATTTCATGGCATGTTTATATAATATATGAAAAATTATAAATCTACATATCAAGAAACGCAGAAAAAAAAAATCAGAAATCAAAATAATATCATCAATTATTTCAATAAGCTTTTCGTATTTACATTTCATTTTCAATCATATATTTTCATACCCGTATTTGTAATTTTCTCCTATTTCAATCCCTCCCTAACTAACATAGATGATGGTGGATTTCATCTAATTTTCAGCTCTTTTTTTTTTGTTAGATAATGTCTCCATTGAAGGACAATTGTGAATAAAAAAGAAGGAAATAACACAGATGGCTAGGGGACAAACGTTGTCGTTTAAGTTCTTTCTTTTGTTGGATAATCCCCAATTTGCCCTCTATCTTTCAAGTTGGCTAGCCGGGTTCTCTGAGTGAGCAGAGTCTTTAGTTCCACAGAGAGGGAGACCGAAGGAAGAAAAGGAACAATGGAGCTCTGTATGAGTCTCGTCAATGGTGGCTCCATCTCTGTCGTCAACTTAAGCCCTTCTTGCCTTTCACGCTCTCTTCCTGTCCCTAAAAACCCCATTTCTCTTCAGTCCTACACTTGTCTTAGACCCCCTTCTCTTTCCCGCCAATTCCAACCTTCCCAATTCGCTGTTTCGGCTTCTCCTTCTTCCTCTTCTTCTTCTTCCACGGCTCTTAGCTCCGAGAAAGACCAGCTTCCAGCGGACATCATTGTCACAGAGACCCAAGAACCCAATTCCAGAGTAATTTTTTTTTATTTTTTATGAACTGGGGGGGGGG